AATTTAGCAGTGTAAGACTAGAGGGAAGGCAGCTAGTCATCACTACCCATCGCCAACCTTTTACCAACGAATAGTGGGATTGACCGTCACATTATAACGCCCCCATGGCTGAACATGCTCATGTTTGGTATGACGGGGATTCGAACTCGCGACCCGCTAATTGCTGTCGAGCGCCCTAACCACCTGGCCATGCCGGGTGATAAATGATTAATTAAGATCACTATTACTTCAATTGATTAAGTGGTTTCCTGATAGCTTATAGTACTTTGTTAATCTGGCATAAACTTGTCATTTTATCTGGTGTAACATTTAATGACATAGACACCAGTGACTTCACTCATCTGGCTAATATCTTGAAACAGTCTCGCCGGTTGGGTCAAGCACAAAGTTTTTGTTATCGATATGTTACATTTTCCTCCTGATAGTATACTTACTTTAACCAGAAATGCCTTGTGGTAAAAGCATACTGATTTCCCTTCAGTGTAACAGAACGACAGGAGTTTTAGCTGACAATGTTATGCAGAGTTCAACTGTAGGAGCCGACTTTGACAGAGTTTTGAAAGAGAGAGACTGGACACAGTGTGTAACAACGTAAAACAATATTTATTCAACAATACAATCGAAGAAGATGAATGTGACGAAAAGTGACATCTTTACTGGAGACAGAGTTTCCAAAGACCTCCACTCTGAAGTCTGTCAAAATCTATCCCAGCTATTTTACATAATGTCACTTAATAAGATAATTTTAGTGTATATAGTAATCTTCTTATAGAAATTTCTAGCAAACAAATAAAGTGCAAATAATCTTTATTAATGACACTACAAGTTCATACTTGATTTTTGATAAAAGAGTTAGAACAAAGGATCACATATAAAATGTAATAGACTTAAAATAAGACCCAAAACCAGAGCGCTTTCGAATAGTTGACTATTCTTCGCCAGGAGAATAAAGAAAATAGTCAACTATTCGAAAGCGCTCGAGTTTTGTGTCTTATTTTAAGTATAGTTCATACTTGAGATATTAACTGCACTTAGGCTTAGATGTCAACATTAATAACATTATACTTTACATTTTTTATGTTAAACATTTCTAAACATTCAGTATTAGGCTATGTAGTTAAAAAAAATATAAGCAAAACACTTCAGCCATTTAAACAGAGCTAGAAGTACAGATTGTTAAGAGAGAAATATAAAACTTCTATATTCTACCAAAAACGTTTTTTTTTTAATATCTACAGTGACTAACCTTATAACAGTGTACTTCCAAAAGTTAGTAGGCTCAATGACTTGAGTATCACGTTTTTCTAAAAAAAATCATTTGAGTTGGTTGGTTGCTTGTTTAGTGCTTTATGGCGCAAAGCAACGAGGCTATCTGCGCCAAACAACAGGTAAAAACAGTGAAAGTAAATTAGAGTAAAATGTAAAAATACAGCGACAATACATGTCGATAAAAGATTTATATATAATTAAAAAGACCTATAGTGTATAAAAAAATTAAAAATACAATATAATCCGACGGTGTCACCATTACCAATGACACTGTCCAACGTCAGGGGTAAACTCTTAGAAAACGTGTCTAAAATGGTGCCGCCGCTCACGGTCGTAACGACCAATAAGTTACAAATGTAATTTAGACCAGTTTCAAGTTAAGGACTTGCATATTTTCATAAGTTACTGATTAACAAAGTTAATGTACAACACATATGAGAATACTTTACTCCTAGCTCAAAAATACTATGAATGCACACATAAAAAAAGAAAAGAACTTAAACAGTTTAAACATTTCAAATTTATGCTTGAAACTCTTCAAATTCATGCATTACTTAATTCAAGAATAGAGGTATATATAACAACGTATCTTCTATAACTTAGAAAAGAAAACTACTGCTAAATACTAAATGTACTTCAAGTTCTTGACATAGATATGATGACAAGCACCAAAAGTTAGATCACTGGTTTCTAAACTGTGTCACAACACAGTAGTATATCACACCAAAGTTGCTAGGGGTAATGCAAGTTTCACCAAACCATGACTAATAAAGAACATAAAAAAATACATATTGCACCGGACAGCAGGGGTGTTGCACAAATGAAGATAAGTGGGTTAGGGTGTCATCAGTGAAGAAAGTTCAGAAACCAATGAGATAACATAAATATAGGACATTATTTTTTGCATGAAATTTACTTTTGATCTTAATGTACAATTCTTGCAAGTTTCTTCATATGAACAAAATGTATTACTGTACATACATTTATATCTTTTACAGTATTTGAATATTTAAAATAAAAATACCAAATTAATAGAGATTTTCATAATTGTACACACATACATAATTGCATACTAATAATATGAACAAAGATTTTTTTAAATTTATTTTGTAAAGCATTGCCTTTGCTGTTAAAAAAAAAAAAGAGAAAAAAAAAGGCTATATAAATAATAGTTCGGTAAATCTATGTGCATAATAGAAAATCCTCTCAACTGCTTAAGAGCCCGATAGTTGTTCCCCCACTAAGATGTCAAACCATTCCTTTTCATATGCAGCATTAATAATACTAAAAAGTTGAAATACAGATGTAAATATTTAACAGCAAAAATAAAACTTTACTGTCAGTTGTGAAATAAAATATACAATAAACATAAAGACCTGAAATGCAAGCTTAAGAAAGTACAAAATCATTCATTAAATAATATACAACAATCAATTTGCAGCATGGTTGTGAAAGAGAATAGACACTCAAAGAGAAATATAATAATCTATATCTGTATGAATAGTTTCAAGAAAAAATATTGATTTTATACATATTATGATAATACTTTTTCTATAATAAAGTATAGTAATAGTTGCATACTCAACACACAGTCAAAATTCTTTATGCCTATTGTCTCTGTTCACATAGTATTAAATAGGTATGATATAGCCCACAAATAATTATTGTGGGCATAATGTGAGAATAACACTGTTCCAGGAGAGAGGGACACTCACCGTATAGTGAGGTGCAATAATTATGCTTACCTGGATATTTTGTTTACTAAACATTACATCTTTTTTTAATAAAACTACAGTTCAGAAAATGTTTGTATTACTAAGTTTGCACATTTAAAAATAGCATTTTCTGTATCAGAGTTTTAAGATAATCATATAAAATTACTCAATATATTTTTGTGCAGATGGCAAGGAAAAAGGTGTGTAATTTTGGACATAAAATACAAGGCTGAGATTCTCGAAGGGAAAAATCATACGAGAAGTGTACAGATCAATGGAATGACTGAACTCAAGGTCACTGATGTAACCTCAGACATTACCACAACACAGAATAAACAAGATTACCCGAAACACCAGCTTCAAGTATCAGACATATATGACTGCTGTGTATATATATATAT